AAGATGATTACTCACACGCTATTAATGTATGGAATAAACTGGGCTGTAAGAATCTAGGTGACTATCACGACCTGTACTTGAGGACAGATGTACTGCTGTCAGCCGATGTGTTTGAGACGTTTAGGCAGACATGTTTCAAGCAGTATAAACTCGACCCCGCATGGTATTACACCAGCCAGGTCTGTCGTGGGATGCCTTGCTTAAAAAGACCGGAGTTAAGTTGGAATTGCTTACAGATTATGACATGCACCTATTCATTGAGAAAGGCTTGCGAGGTGGGATCTCCATGGCAACCAAACGTCGAAAGCAAATAATCAATACGTGAAGGGCTACGACCCGAGCAAACCAACCAATCACATTCTCTACCTCCACGCCAACAACCTGTACGGCTGGGCCATGAGCCAGTATCTACCCACAGGGGGTTTGAATGGGCGTCACATGAGGTCGATGTTATGAGCATCGCACCAGATTCGAACAAAGGTTATATCCTCGAGGTTGACTTGGAATACCCCAAGGCATTACACACATCACACAACAGCTACCCCCTAGCCCCCGAACGTATGAGGGTTAACCCAGACTGGATGTCTGAGTACCAACATAACTTATTAGGTGGGCGGGTGGCAGACGTTGAAAACCTTGTGCCTAACTTAATGAATAAGACCAAGTACATCGTTCACTATCGCAACCTACAGCTGTACCTGTCGTTGGGTATGAGGCTGACTAAAATACACAGGGTGCTCGTGTTCAACCAGAGTCCCTGGATGGAACCTTACATCAGAATGAACATAGACCTCCGAAAGCTTGCCACCAGTGACTTTGAGAAAAACCTCTACAAGCTCATGAACAACTCGGTGTTCTGTAAGACTATGGAGAACCTGAGGAAACGCGTGACCGTGAAGCTGGTCCGGTCGAATGAGAAAGACAAGCTCAGGAGACTGATAGCCAGTCCGGCATTCAACCGTAGCAAGATATTCACCGATGACCTAGTTGCCCTACACATGAAGAAAAGCCACATAAAATTCAACCGGCCTGTTTACGTGGGGATGAGCATCCTCGATTTATCCAAACACCTGATGTACGACTTTTACTACAACGAGCTTAAGAAACAGTACGACGACAGGTGTGAAGTGCTGTACACTGACACGGATTCCCTGCTGATGGAGATTCGAACCGAGGACGTGTACGAGGACATGAAAAAACACCTCGATTTGTACGACACTAGCGACTACCCCAAGGACCATGCCATACACAGCACGGTAAATAAAAAGGTCCTAGGTAAGATGAAGGACGAGTGTGCTGGCACGCCCATAGCCGAGTACATAGGTTTGAGGCCTAAGATGTACTCCATACTGAAGGCCGACAATGGTGAGATCCGTAAGGCGAAGGGTGTTAAGAAGTACGTGGTGAAACAACACATCAAACACGCCAGATTCAAGAAAGCCCTGTTCAAGACCTGTACCTTTAGACATAAAATGAACACACATAGAAGTGATGGGCATAGGATATACGGACTGACTGTAAACAAGACGTCCCTGTCGCCGATGGACACTAAACGTTGGATAGCTATTGATGGGATAAACACGTACGCGTACGGGCATGAGAAAATTGAACCAAGAACATAGATGTATATCTGTCACGGAACCAGAGAAAGTTTGAGGCTATTTACTATAGCCCGTGTGGGTACTGGAAAGGAGCTAGCGCTGTAGATAAGCTGGCTAAAATGGCGCGAGTACCCCCGGAGGAGGCCAAAGCGTGGCTTGAAAAACAAGCCCTGTGGCAGATCTATTTGCCACCTCCACACTACGTGCCTAGAAGGAAGTTTGGTATTAACATACCCAATAGCGTTCACCAGGCAGACCTACTGTTCCTACCCCACGACAAGAGGTACAAGTATGCCTTAACCATCGTGGACGTGGCCAGTCGCTATAAGGTAGCTGAACCATTGACCGCGAAAGACTCGGTCCAGGTAGCCCGCGGATTCGAGCGTATATACGAACGCAGTCCGCTGACGTGGCCAACAGAGCTGCAAGTTGACCCCGGGCGGGAGTTCATGGGTGTCGTGCCACACCTGTTAGACAAACACGATACAAAGGTCAGGCGTGGCACGGTAGGAGCCCATCGCAGCCAAGCCATACTTGAGAGATTCAATAGAACGTTGGCTGAGCGCTTATTTGGTCATCAGTATGCGAGGGAGATGGCCAACCCGGGGAAGCCATCGACTAAATGGGTCGCGAGGTTACCTAAGGTGGTGACTGCAATCAACCATGAAGCCACCCGTCTCACCGGCAAGAAACCGGCAGACGCTATCAAACTAAAATCAATAGTGGCAGAGTCGGCTGCTCCATTGCGTGGGAAAGAGAAACAGATACCAGATAGGGCCCTAGTTAGGTATCTATACCAGCCGGGGGAACACGAGGGTGATAGCCATAAGCGAGCCACCGATCCTATATGGTCAGTCAAAACTTACAACATAGATAAAGTGGACATGAAAGCCGACGAGCCGAACTTGTAGTACTTGAGAGATGGGCCAGGGAGAGGGCTCGTTAGACAGGAATTATTGATCGTACCGTACAGCACAATGTTACCTCCTGTCAACACAGCATAGCCACACGTGGATAGACCCGTTAAACCGGCACACTTCAAAGATGTCCCCGGTAGCTCAGTCGGTTAAGAGGCGCGGTTGTGAGGTGCACATGTGGAGTTCGTATCCCGCTAGCGTCTCAAACTTTTTTATAGTAGGGGTAATGGTAGCTGGATCAAGGGTCCGGCCAAAGCCTTATTTCACAAATAAGGCTTTGCAGAGGCTTTTGTTGGACCTGGTCCAAGAACAAGACCGCGACACGCGGAAAGCACTATGTAAGAAGTACCATAGAGCTTTCAATATTGTGGACGGGACTGATACTGCTCTTATGGCAACCAGCATGGGACTAGGGGCGGCAGGTGTTGGGTTGTTAGCTACCATCGTGGCTACCCCCGTAGTGCTAGGCATTGAAATAACAGCTGGGGTGGTAGGGGTGTTAGGGTTGGCGCTTAAGTTTGCATCACGCAGACTGCATCGTAAAGCGTTGAAACATGACGAGATCAGGGTTCTGGCTGAAGCAAAGCTGAACACAGTCAGTGAGCGTATTTCCACGGCACTCACTGACAGTAAGATCTCAGAGGAGGAGTTTCGTTCAATCCTCTCTGAACTCACAAAATATAATAAAATGAAACAAGAGATTCGATCCAAGTCTCGTAAGTCTGCTATCAGCGAGGATGAGAAAAAAAAGTACATAGAACAGGGAGTACAAAACCCCCGGCAAGCCTTTATTACGAACACCAAAGAGATTATAGGCGATTCACATTAAACTGTTTCATCGAGGTAAACGTGGCATAGCGGCACGTTAGACGCAGCCCAGCTTTGGATGATACAATCCCAGGATAGACCCGTTAAACCAACATACTTCAGCCATGTCCCCGGTAGTTGAGTGGCGCGGTTGTGAGGTGTACATGTGGAGTTCGTATCCCGCTAGCGTCTCAAACTTTTTTATAGTAGGGGTAATGGTAGCTGGATCAAGGGTCCGGCCAAAGCCTTATTTCACAGATAAGGCTCTGCAGAGGCTTTTGTTGGACCTGGTCCAAAACCCCCATTCCCTATACTACTCAACAAAAGATGAACTCTGCAGACACATCATTCATGTAGATGAATGTGTCTCTTGTAGTATTTGATTTCCATTTTTATTTTGTAGGAATAGGAACCTTGATAAGTTGGAGGGGTTGGGGTTTTTGCTTTAAACTTTCTTTGGGGGACAGTTGCCATTGATATTCGAAGTGTACAGCAGGTTCGTGGTTTTTATACTTACTGTGATCAGCACCCTCTCATGGACACAGAAGGATTACCATACCGTCCCCTTGATAGTTTATTGTAAGCAATATATTTTGTAATGACCAAAAACTTAAATACAAAATATCAACATCATATTTTTTCAGTCTGTTTTGACCTGTGTTCATTATCATCGCTTCGGACTATGTAGAAGTCATTTCAGTTCATGATTCATATTTGTTGTGTGGTTGGGTTAAAGCGTAGGCTCGTCACGCCGAAGACCCGGGTTCGAATCCCCACATGGGTACAATGGGTGAAGCCCATTTCTGGTGTCCCCCGCCGTCATATTGCTGGAATATTGCTAAAAGCGGCGTAAAACCAACTCAGTCAGTCAGTGTTGTGTGGTTGAGTTGTCTATATAGTGTATTACATACCTAATGCTTAATTCATTATTACTTAACATACAATGTTTTCTATTAGTGTATAAGTCTTGTATTATTGCCATATCAGCAAACTCTGCTTAGTTCAGAGGAATCATATGCAGACAAGTTCGTCATGACTCAATATACCAATGAGAGTACACGTCAAAGTGTTCACTATGCAGAGTTGTTTCCCTTGGTTAAACATAATCCGCTGACTGTTGTTTTGAATTGACATTTTATCCAGATTACGATGTTAGTTTTAAACTAATGTGCGGCTGTGTCCACCTTTATGTGTTACACAAGGGTGTTGAAGCATCTTATTCTAAAATTAAATTCGGCTCTCTGCCACATTGAGATAGGATATGTCATTATATGACTGGAATACTTTTCCAAGTTAAAAGCTGGATAACTTTTCAGCATCGTGAACATGTTCTACTTTGTGAAAATCCTTAAATCTCATGTCTGCGATATTGATTTCATTATTTAATTGTCCATTGATCAATAGCCATGCACTGTGATCAAACGTGTATATCTAAAACTTTTTTTTTAAAAATATATTCGTGTATATATTGATTGATATCTCATTTTGTAAGATATTGCTTTAAAAAAGTGATGTCAGAATGTATTTAACAAAACACAATTTACGGACGACTGCTTTATTATTCAATACTATAAATGTTCAGTGTCGATCTTTATATTCAAGCAAGACTGCTTTATGATGGTAAAAAGGAATTCTGCTGAAAGAGTACTTTCACACTGCAATAAACAAGTTGCATTCCATAACTGTGTCATTTGACTACCTCTAAGAAATGAGACTTCTAAGAAACAACTATGTATTTGTATGGCTTAACGCATTTATTCTTGTATGCCCTTACATACATAAACAAGAAACTGTACATTCTATATGTAATGTCATTGGATTGATCATTGTATTGATGCACTGAGTTGTTTTGGAAATGCTGATATTATCGTTTGAATTGTGAGCGCGATATTGCTCAGAATTCATGAACGTCACAATCTGTTACTAACAGGGAGTGTGTTTATGTCGGTGGCACTTACCAGTGTCACTAACAGTATCAGTGGTCCATTTTGTTGGTGCAGCCTGACGATGTCCCTAAACTTACCAGTTGCCCATTATGTCGGTGGAAAGAACATCTATCCATCCATCCATCCATCCATCCATCCATCTATCTATCTAATCATTTGCGGGTCATGTGCAGGAATCATGACCACTTAGCTGCCAATAGGGTTGTGGTCAGCCAATCGTGTTCTCTATGATAACAAAGAAGGACGTGGAGAAAACTTCTCTAAATCTCCTGTTTTGATTATGATACAGTAATACATTGCTTTATCTTGCATTCAAATTTATCTGTTTTTCAAAATGATATATTTTACATAATTATGTCAAACCTGAATACCATGAAATAGACGACCTGGCGTATGCATTTAAAGACATTTACACACTGAAATCATACAATGTGAGCTACTTTCACACAATCTGTCGCAAGTACGGAAGTAAATACATTTCGTAACATCAAAACCTGCATCTGTGCCACATGTGCCCCTGTCTGTAAAGGAGCACCCTTCACAGCAAGATATTAATAATGTACTTTGTACCTGAAAAATCGGGTCTCCGAAGACAAAACTGTCTAATTACCGGTGTGACAGAGTTGTATCTCTTAGGTTAGTACGCAACTCGTATCTCCTAAACATATGCGGGTAACTCCTAATCACGCGTGGGGAACTCTAAATTCCAATAAATCTGGCTCAGGTGTCATGAGCATAATAATACGGTGTGTACGTTATGGCTCTTAGACATTTCCGACACTGACGATAGAAGGTGTAGGGCCCCAAATGCACCCAGCGCTCTACTACCGTCATGACTTGGGCCGTTTCGTGTCCACATTTACCTGGGATTCACACACACATACTTGAGAGCTGTCAATGTGTCCACATGAAACAAAAGCAGATTTAAAGACATTCTGAAATCAAGAACGTGTGCCGATTTTGTCCAAGCATATATAAGACACCTTGAAATGAAACAAAGCACCCATGAACTAATAAAGCACAAATGACAAATTAAGTAAGTATAATCTATACTAAGGATAACACAAGCAAAGTCTGGAACCATTGGCCTGTTGATAAAGGACATCACAAATCTACATATTAAGGACGCAGAATTATCTAACATTGCCATCGTCTGAAACATTATGGCACTGACTGTAGACGTTTTTGTGCTAAGAAATATCAGTTATTATTTACCACAATGTCCAAAGCGCCTTTCACTTGAGAACAAGCAGACGAACAGCATGACAAAGAAGATCTGGCATTACTTTCAGCCCTAAATGTTTAAGTGCAGGTAGCAGTTTGCCCTTAAGAAAACTGTTATCCTGTTCAGCACTACAACGCGCTTGTTCTCTAAAATCCACCTCAGGCTGTCTGGCTCTAATACCTCGTAAGGCTTGGATCTTCTTTTCGTGATTCAACTTCAATTCTTTAAGCTGTGCTCTAATATCCTCACAATCTCTGGATTCACGTTCAGCACCCAGCTGTTCTAGTTTCTTCAGGAACTTATTGTTTGTTTCTTCATGGTCCTTTTCGAGTTTCCTCACGTGTCTTCTGATCTCATCTAGTACTGATTTCATGGCTTCTTCGTTTTCACGCCTTAGTTGATCTTCCCTTTCTTTCATAACCTTTTCGGCCTCCTGAAACATGGCATTTGTATAAACCTTCCCTCCGTTGTCCTGGACCATCTTATCAATAACCTCCAATAAAGTGTGTACATCTTGTTCCTTTTCTCTCTCTGATCCTCTATTATTGAACGTGACATACCGGCCACCACAATCCTTCAGAACAGATTGTAATTTGCCGGGGTCTTTTCCGATAAAATCTTCGATTGTTTTACCATTGGAAATAAGCTCATCCTTTTTAGTGAAGAGAATGATTAAGTAATCCAACATGCCTCTACCAAATAGTTTCATGAAATGTTCAACTGTATTCTGTTCTTCCTCTGTGAATCTGTCAACTCTGACAACGAGTAGAAAAGCATGTGGTCCCGGAGCAGTCATCCCAACACATTTGATGACCTCCAGAGAGATGTCTTCAATCGACATGTCTGTGTCGTACAACCCTGGTGTGTCAATAACCTGAAGACGGCGCCCGAACCTGTTGCTTGTGCCACGCTTGCATTCTCTAGTAACACCGGTTGATCGCAGTGAACTGTGAAAGTCATTCTTATCAAGGATGGTTTTTCCAGTGGAACTTTTCCCGGATCCTGTCCGTCCAAGAAGAACAATTCGAACCTCTTTGCCTTTATTGACGACACTGGAGGAGTTGCAGACAGCTCCACCGCCAACTGCGCCATCTGCAACAGCCGAGGGAAAATATGTATTCATTAAGCTGCAACTACTTCCATTGAAGAAGTGGAAACCGATTTAGCATATCCACCTTCAAAATGGACCATCCCGGTATGTATGATTTTTTATTTTTTTTTTTTTTGGGGGGGGGGTTGTTTGTTTATTTTTTCCTTTATAACTGAATATATAGTTATCAGTTATCTGCATTTTGTGTATATTTATTCATTCATTTACTTATCGAAATAGTATTATATAACATACATTAGATACACTACGCTTTTCCACATGATCAAATCAATGTCTTAAAAAGTTGCATAGAACGGCCGAATAATAATTCACACTGACAGCTGCTCTTAGGAAACAAGACCTATATCTGCATGTTTGTAGTTTAATGCCGCAATCCCGAATAATCGAGGTCTATGACTGCGGTCTGTAAATATTCTAGTGATTGACATAATAAGCGTCGATCCACGCTTATTATACCGACATGTACCTTCATGTGTCTGGTATGTAGTACATTGTACAAACCTCCCTGTGCAGTTGTATCTTCCACACCTGTTTCGGGTGACGTTTTGGAGCTGGATGAATCATGAATGTCTCCCTCAACGGTTCTGTCCCATGGCCTGTCGGAGCCACACATCATACATTTCCAAGCCTCCCCGTTGTTATTGAACGTACATGAGGTGCACTCCCATTCTAAAACGTGAGATACGGGCATTGTATAAGCTAACGGGCGAAAGATAGTACAATGTAATTGAAAATTGAAAAACATGTTGTAAAATGTGGTGGTTTCTATTTAAACATCACTCATTCCTTCAAAAGTTTGTAATTAGTAATCTGTCTGCAACCATATGATCCCTTCGATGTTTGAAATGTCAGTTGAGTCAACTGAGTCAATTAAAATTCAACGTCAATATTTCAACCGTATAGTGAAGAGAAGATTTATGTTAATATTTTTCACATAAGGACAGTCAATTATATCAGCAAGATATCACAATATTTGACTAAAAACTAAATATTTCAAATATTTAAATAATCTATTTAACACAAACATAACATATCACATTTAATACAATAAAAATACGGGCTATACATCGTCAGCAACTGAAGTGAGATCACCATACTAGGGACCATGGGGACTTACTGCACCTTTGCCAGCGTTTAAAATTCCCGCTTGCCCGACCGTCCAGAACGGCCTATTTTCATCTCGGACGGTCAGATTTCAAAGGTAGCCTGTCCGGTGGTCGGGTAGATGTATTACCCCTAACGGTAAATATTTCATAATATCAGACAGGTTCTCTTGTCGACAGTTTGAGGTGTTTAAGGTATAATGATAATTATGTTAAACTGTTTACGATTGGACAGTTCATTTTTCAATAACCAATCACAACACATGCACTTTCAGTTTACCAAAACTCTGTGCATTGCCTCTTAGTGCTATGTTGTTCATTGCGATGCTTGCAAACAGTAAAGTAATCAGAAACCTGATTTTTGTTTTCACTGCTGAAAACCGGACAGACTCGTTTGTATCCATTCGTCACCACTCGCCCATTTCCGTAATCTCCAAGAACGCTATTCGGCTTGTCGCGGAATAACACGAGTTGGTCACGAATGGTTTGTATCCGGACTGGTAATTTTTACCAGTTCGGCTGTCTGGCTTGGAATTTTGGGAGTTTTAAACATTGCCTTTGCTACCTGCGTGGACCCTAGCTGGATTTCCACCATCCCATCAGCTACTTGCGATTATACAGGGATTTAGCCAATATTTAGAAAAACAAATATACTTTAAATGTTTGGCAGAGCTAAATATACTATGAAAATTTTGGCATTAACGTACCCTCTCAGGAGGACAATACTTTCACAATACCTTAGCCCATTTGAGGACACAACCACTAACAATCTCGGTTGTATATTTAATTTAACGAGTATAATATCATTTATCTATTTACGGAACAGATCATTCACAATGTGTGTATTAATTCAATTTTATTTAAAAATCCAAGAATTAGAAACGAAGTGACTTTAGTGAGTGAGTTAACATTTAACATCACCTCGGCAATATTTCAGCCATATAGTGACGAGAGAGGTTTAGCATACACAATAAATATAAGTTGTTAAAAGGAAGGAAGGACTGTAAAATAACTAGAGTATCACAGATGGTGTCTAAAACTAGCATGGGAATCTAAAACTATTTGATCTATTAAGACAATACAATATAAAAACAGGCTAGAGGTCGCCAAGAACTGAAGGTAGATCACCATACTAGGGACCATGGGGACTTACAGTGCTTTTGCTACCTGTATGGACCCTAGTTTGATTTACACCATCCCTTCAGCAGCTGGCGATTGTAGGAAAAATTTAGCCGAAGTTTAAAATAACAAAACTACTACGGTTACAAGTCTGGTAAGTGTGGTGTGCTGTGAGCACAGAGCTCAGGTCACGAATCAGATGAAGTTAAGCAACGTCGAGTTCGGACAGTCCTTGGATGGGTGAGCGTGTTTGGCAGCTTGACTCCTGAGAGTTTTTCGGACTTCAGTCCTGCCACACAACGAGGCACATGTGATACATGTGGTCTCACCTTAGGCAAGTGAGTTTGTTCAAAATTGCCTCTGTTCACCCAGCAGAAAATGGGTACCCGGTTGGATAGTCATGTTACTATAACCTTCTAGCGCCTAACATGCAACTTGGGTTATCCGGGGTAATAAGAATTATATTCCGATAAAGCGCCACAAGAAGATGACTTATTGTTATTATTATTATTATTAAGTGTGAGTTTAACTTTGAAAGTTTTGGGACTTACGACTCCGAGGTGACTTCAATAAGATCCTTCATGCATGAACCTTTGAAATGTTTACCCCTTATGATGGAAAAAACGATACTGCAAAGCAGAACCTGCTTGACCGTAAGTCTTTCATCACAAGGAATACAAAAAAGGAGGATCCTCATCTTTCATCCGGTACTCATTAGTATATCTAGAATGGCCACTTACGGCATCGTCTTAAAATGACCTGGACTGACAGATTAAAAAGATGTACCCGATAGTTGACAATTTCACCACACGTTCTTCTTACCGAGTCGCTTTCTTGGTTCGATACTTAAAAGCAATGTCATTATTTAGCATTGTCAGAATTTCTAACTGTGACATAGATATGCCTCTGTCACAGACAAAACTGAATGTCTGTTTCATTGACACTTATGTGTCTGCCTGCCTGTGTCTGCTAATGACAATATGCAATACACCACTTCAGTCATTGACCACATGCATTTGAACTTAACACCTATCAGGCTATACACCATAAACAAAACGCATTGATTTATGGCTCTTGCACCTGGGTTCTGTCTCTGTCACATGATGCAATTACACAGACAGGCAGGTGTAATACTTGACAATGTACACATGACATGTTATGATGTCTGTTGATTGCAAAATCTTATACACAAAACAATGAGCATGTATTTACAAAACCCAACCCTGAGTATATCGGCAAATGAACCAGCCAATGAAAGCCTTCTTTACGCTTAAGTGACCACCCTCTCTGACTGCGTTGGGTATCCCGGATGGTTCGTTTCGAGGGAAGTAAACCCAAGTACAAAATATTGCTGTTTGACTTGCGATCGTATGCTTATAATTTGTTTTTTTGTTTGTTCATAATCAGCAATGTATATAATATGTCATGAATGAATGATAATTGTGTTTTAATTATGTTTCTCTTTTTCTGCTGCATCTAAGCTTTAAATATTACAGATTCACCTGTGTTCTATTTTGCTGGTTTAAAGGGGACTCACAAGCCTTTTATCTTAGAAAACTTCTAAACCGTAACACTGGTCTTACCAACTGCCAAGGTGGAGTTGGGAAAAACCGGCGCGGAGAGATTGTCAAAGTCATTATTAGAAGCTAGCTATAGGGCTTCAACGAGTCCATTTTCTTGGACTCGAGTACTCGAGGGATGAGACTCGACTCGGACCCGAGTACTCGAAATTCATACCTTTCAAGAAAACGATAGCGTAACTTGCATAGCATGTGTTCCGATCACACAAGTGAACTTTATATCGTCATATGAATAACATTTCCTATTGGACAGAATCAGTATTTGGATGTTTTCTTGACAAAATCTTTTTTTTCATCGTACTTCTTGTACTGCCTGCAAAACGCAGTTATTTACCGCACAGGCGGCATTTGGTTATTTTTCTCTTTTCACTATCCAGATCAAGATACGCCCATACATTTGATTTTTTTTATCTTTCTCCATGTCTATCAATTGTCAAGATGGTTACCTAATCATTTGAAGAATTGAAATCTCAAACGATGTATAATATTTACTCTCATCTGCAGACTTTTAACAACTAATACCATACAGCCACACCTTGTGAGGAGTAAACGATTTAATCTAGGTGTTAATAATAAAACATCATCCGATGGGTTAAAGAATTCAAGGTACATAGAACTCAGTATGTCAGTGTCAATGACTATCAATCTTCTTTTCTCTCAACCTCTACTGGAGATCAAAATGGCTGTGTTCCTTCATCCGTACTCTTCGTTTTGTATACCAATGGCTGTTACTTGTCAATATATGACGTTGTTTAGGAGAAAGCTCATTTGAGTCTACATGAAGGCTCTCAATGGGAGATGTCGAAAGGCATCGAAATCTGAGTCCTTTATGTTTCTTAAATTACTTTTGCAGGTCCCAGCGTTAACATGGGAGCCATAGTCCAATTTAGAGTGAACCAACAATGATCTATATAGGTGAAGGAGGGTTGTTTGATCCCCTCCCCTCTTCCTTCAGACATTGCTTCGGAAATGTGACCAAAGTCATTGCTGTCAATCGCTCTTCAATGAGCTTCACTGGGCTGCCCGCAAGGACCAAAAACCCCATGAGTGCTCTGTACTCAAGCTTATCCATTTCTGCCGTTTCAATTGGAGTACATGTGATTAGATGTCACTTGACTGAAAACTAGCGATGTGTACATGGAAATATTACGTTTATGTGAATGATATAAACCACTCTTCAATATCATATGGATATTTTTAAGTCAGCAACCAAGCCTTATATACTTATCACACAATCCTCGAATTCTTTTTTGGTAGCTACGCCTCACTATTATCCTCCCAGAACTTTCCACAAGACCGCCCAAGACCGGAAGCAAGAAACAACCAAAGGGAAGCGTAGCTCTTACTCTCAGCAGGCGGAATTACATAGCCTCAGCTCAAGATGCGAGTTCAAATCACACTCAGCGTTTCAGACCTATAATAACTAAAACGTAATTAATGTGACATCTTTATCAACACAAACACATTCTCATAACAATACTTTGATATTTAATAAACTCTCATAAACGTCAGGCTGGTTCGACCCACGACATTAATCTTAAGAAACTCAGAATTCAGAGTATCACCGGACTGGCCAATGAGCCACTGCCTTCTGGGCCTAGGACTCTAGGCAAAATGAATAATATTCATGTTCATGAAATGTTTACGTTCATAGACACGTGGTATCATTTCAAAAGTTGTAAATAATTATGTTCAGGGCACGGCGTGACCAGCCGATCGATAGAACCGGGCCAATTCTACAACTCATCTAGATGAAGTCAGTGTCAAAGTGGTATGTTTTGCAAAGGAACACTATTCGTTGAACTAGTGCCCTCAACCACCAGAATCCCGCCATCCACCGACAGAGGGGCGCAAACACGGCAAACAGGCTGCCCAACTTGGTCGCCTTTTACGACCAGCAATGGGGTGCTGTAGACCTATACCTATTCTGCCCCGGGTCTTGATCCTCACGATTGCCTGGAAATGCGGGAAATTTGTGCCCCCAAAACACTTAAGCAGTTGAGTATCCGCTCAATATCGAGTATTACCGAAACAAACACAATTCAGAAAAGAACATTTCACTGTGAACCCAAAAGACTTTAAATCCAGTACAGCAAAGCTGTTGCTGATAGATCTTTCACATAATCAACCTGTAACACGTCACAATTTAATTCTGGACTCACAAAAGTCCAGAAACTCTCCGCACTGTGGTCACTTTATGACAAGGGATTTGACCAAATTAAAGATGCAGTTGTTATGAATATATGCCAAGGATGAAAAAATGGAAAAATGTTTTATCGAAAACTTTAAATTTAAACTCGCTCGCCCATGTGCGAGAATGTTTATTTTCGCTCAGAATTCATGTTTTGGAGGTTGTAAATGAATGAGTGTATGTTTATAAGCATCATGACACAAATTTCAACTCATTGTAACTTAATTCGACTAACTTTGAGCGATATTAAAAAATATTTACTTTTACTCAAAATACATGTTTTTCCATGTTTTGGGGGTTGTAAATGAATGAGTGTATACTTATGAGTATATCATGACACAAGTTTCAATTCATTTTGACTTAATTCGGCTAATTCAGACCGATATTAAAAAAATCTCGCCCATGAGCGAAAAACATTTTGGCCCATGGGCGAGAATATTTACTTTTACTCAAAATACATGTTTTTCCATGTCTTGGGGGTTGTAAATGAATGAGTGTATACTTATGAGTATATCATGACACAAGTTTCAATTCATTTTGACTTAATTCGGCTAATTCAGACCGATATTAAAAAAATCTCGCCCATGTGCGAAAAACATTTTGGCCCATGGGCGAGAATATTTACTTTTACTCAAAATACATTTTTTCCATGTTTTGGAGGATGTAAATGAATGAGTGTATGTTTATAAGCATCATGACAAAAAAAAAAATTGTTAGAACTTATTTCGACTAATTTAGAGCGTTATTTACACAATCTCGCCCATGGGCGAGAGTCTTTACATTTGCTCAAAATACATGTTGGTTTCGTGTTTTGAAGGTAGCAAATGAATGAAAGAACGTTTGTAAGTATCATGATAAAATCTTTTGACTTAATTCGGATAATTTGGAGTTCTATAAGAAATATATCGGCCATGGGCTAAACTATTTCTTTTTACTCAAAACTCAGTAATAAATGTCAGTCCATAATGGGCGAAACAGTTTGACCCACTGGCAAGCTAACCTAATTTCACAATTAATTTGTTTTGGTTTGCGAAAAAAAAAATTTACAAACTTATTTCTACTATTTATGAAAAAAGAATGCGAATTGCTTCGTTTTATCCTGTTGATCAGGGTTGGTTGAAAACAAATGTAATGAAAACATGTCACTGATGAAAAACGATTTGAGTGTGAGTGAGTTAATATACTCCAGTATATCGTCACATCGGCAATATTTCAGCCATATTTTGACTTGAACCAATTAAACATTGATGAGGAATAAATGTATAGTATATAACCTGTCGTCAAGGGACAGTAAAATATCCAGAATATCAATCAGATTTAAACCTAGCATTTAATATTTATATAATAGCACTATTTGGACAATACACAAAATGAAAACATGTTATAGACAGCCAGCAACTGATTTTAGATCACCATGGGGACTTACGGTACTTTAGCTACCTGCGAAGGACTTACATGGTCCCTTCATACGTTGGCGATTGTGCACAAATTTAGCACATGTATCCTACTATTATAAACCTGGTATATCTAAATTTACTTAAAATGTTTTGAGACTTACGTACCCTCTCAAGAAGACAAAACTGTGAAACCCGTGAAGGTGCGGGTTAGAATTGGCCTTCAGTAACCTATTCTTATCGTAAGAGGCGACTAACGGGATCGGGTGGTCAGGCTCGCTGGCTTGGTTGACACATGTCATCGGTTCCCAATTGCGCAGATCGATGTTCATGCTGTTGATCACTGGATTGTCTGGTCCAGGCTCGTAAAAGACCGCCGCCATATATCTGGAATAGACTCGTAAAACTAAACTTCATCCAATTACGCAGATCGACCTGTTGATCACCGCCAGACTCGGTTTATTTACAGACCGCCGCCATATAGCTGGAATATTGCTGAGTGCGGCGTAAAACTAAACTCACTTGCTCACTCACTCCAAACTGTGAAAAAAGGAACACCTCCAGCTACCAACAATGTCAACATGAACATAATGGAGTCCCTGCATCAATACATCTTCAAGACTAAACGAATTGATAAATTATTCTAGACCAATATCTATACACAAATAATGAAATGTAACTGCAGGTTCAAGGTTCCTAAGCACGTACAATGCACATTTATACTACCTCATGTAAGAATGTCTATCTCTGATTGATTCACGTGACCTTGAACAAATTACCATGTATGCCGGGTGCATGGTCGTACACTGCTTGGGTGGTGTAGTACAAATCATCAGGCAGAATATATCATTTTATACCCCGCCCCATGGAAAAAACATGCATCCGCGGCAGTCAGTGAACCGTGAAGCAGTGGTTCAAATAGTGTCCTCTCACTTAGCCAGATTCTGTCAAAATAGGTCTCTCACATAGCCAGAGTGGGATTTGGCTGACTAGGGTCAGTGTTTTGATAACACTTAGTCCAGATGAGCCATAGCCTGTATCAACACAATGCTCAAGTAGTGACATTAGTGAAATTTGTATTAAAGTTGGACATATTGATATGGTATTATTTGAAATTCATTGATAAAACTGTAACAATTAGAACCAACGATCCGATTCATCAACGATGAATAACAAAATCCTATCCTTAATAAGAAAACAGAATCGTGTACATAACGTTGCTTGTAAGACTGAGAGTATTTCGTTCACTTGAAAAACGATTATCTGAACGATAACTCAGCTGATAGCATCAGTTTCGATTATAGGAAAAAAAGTCCTCGGAAAAAAGTACCGGAAAAAAGTCCTATCATTGTGAAAACAGATTAAATGGATGTTGACATCAAATGTATTGTAGAGGAAACATAAAGTGATTGAGTATAAAAGACATGGATACTGAGTTAACCAAGAACAAAGATATTGTAACTGGACAGATCTAATCCAGGATTTAGCTTGAGTTCTGTTTGTCAAAATGTGATTTTAGCTGCATGAATCAAAGAATAATGTTCACAACAAGATTGTTTTAACAAACTGGCTTGTGGAGTACTGTTTGAGTTCTGTTTGTCAAATAAAACGTGATTTTAGTTGCTTGAATCAAAGAATATTTAGTGTTATATTTTAACTATTTTAAACAACCGTGTGGGAAGTAAATACACACTTTCCTCGTTCCTGCTAATGGAACGTGATTAGATTATCCGTTGTTTGCAACACGGAAAACGGAAAGTTTACAACGCGCCCGCCCAAATAATGCAACACGGTAACAATTTGTTCAACTGTTTTTATGGAATGTTTTTGGGGACATTTTGGAAATGCTACGTAATTTGCATACACCATATCCTAGGTAGTGAATATCAGTAATCATCCGTTGTTACAGTTTCCTATACACTATAAATTAACCCCCTCAATATTGTTTATGAAAAGTAAATGTATATATGAATGGCCAATGAAAATAGCGTTTTCAGAAGCCGGTATCTATAATATCTGCGTTTTTCATGTACATACAATGATTACTCTCTCTCTATTGGATTGATCAAATTCTTCATAATCAAAATTTTTCATAAATCAAAGATTTATGTGTTGGTCCATCCCGCGATCTCGCACTTGGGACGGTGGACACTTTTAGCTCAAAATTTCAAGATCCCGAGAAAGGGGGGTTGGAGGGTGGGAGGGGGGATGTGTGTTGACCAATTGGAGTGGATAATAGTAGCTGCTGGGACGTAGAAGTCCGTTGTTTTACAGAGAACTCCCATCTCGGCTCACTGTCTCTAGGTTTCCGAATAAGAAACAATCTCAAGGCACAAGCATGACGCCTGAGACTTTAGCTTTGTGGCTGAAGTCTCTTGACAAAGTTAGCAACAGAGTGGGTTGGTTGGACCATGCGAGTAAAGGTCGTCCGAGGAAGAACATCCTGTTCCGAAGGTCCCGTCACGACACTGTATGAGGGTATACTGTAGTTTAGTGGAAGGAACGTCCTTCCAGGTGTTGGCAACGACTGAGCCGAAACATAAACATTAATTAATGTCCAAACCGTTTCTTGCACACACAGAAAAAACTATCGTGATCAACAATTTGAGAAACATACGCGGAAAACGACAACGCTCCATGCAAAAGAACAAGGACAAAACACTGTTTAACTTATTAATTAAACTACACTGTATATTGTTTTTACAGTACAACGACTTGGAAGTATCCTATAAGTGCAATAAAATCGGCTTATAGATATAGTTTGTTTGCCCTCAGAAGATATGTATTAATTAATGTTGCGCTTCATCTGTCAGCTCACGATCATGATTATTCGCCGTACAGTCACTATAAAGAGACTGCTAGGTTTTTTTCCTTTGCTGCAATACCACCACCATGTCACGGTGACCTACAAGTATCCATGTAAAGGGAAATACAAGACAAGGAAATCAAACCTGTGTGCAAGCGAAAGGAATGGACGTTTTCTCCACTAATGTGCTCCACTCTACACATTTTGCATTTTCTACATTCATCTTCATTTTCGAAGGTGCAGGCAGGACAAGGCCACACTGGAATAAATGAGAACATTATGTTATTATGGTCAAAGGCCTACACACACGTATCAGAGAGGAGGTGTGTGTAAGTGAGTGTGTGTGTGGGTGGGGGGTGGGGGTATTAAATAATCATTTTGAAACCGGGTAAAAATGAACGCCCACCCGTTCTCAAAAAGCTGTATCCACCCCTGGAATCCTATGAATATTTATAGGTCGTTTTGAAGGTACTCATGCAATCTGATTATAACAGCGAATGTACAGACCGAGCGACCTGTATTGTGATCAGCTGATATCCGCTGTGTTGTGGTGGCAGACAGTGGTGGAGAGCGTTGCAAACACTTCGTATTGAGTAGTACAGGACAACAAAGACTGTACTCAGGCATTCAAAGGTGTGCAGGGGACGACAACGAGCACTGTAATGGCGGCCCCCAATAAGGTAACATGTGACACAAACATCGAGGCTAGTGGGCGGAAAACAACCAGCTTCGCGAATGTTATGCATATCGAAGCAGAAGTGCATGTAAATCATCCAACTATCGCTAGCTGTGAACACACAGACGGTCAGATGTCGGAAAGTAGGCAAAGGGGCATTACCATACTGGAAGCAGTGACAGGCCTTCTGAGTCAATTAAGAGGGTGCAGTGTCATCCCTCACAAAACGCATGTCAGAATTAGAAACAAACTTAGAAGTCAATCTCAAGTTTTTAATCACAACTACAATAGAGACAAGTCAGGAATATTAAGAATGAATTGCAGAAAGATTTTTCCAGGTTGAATCAAAAGTGAACAAATTAGAGCAAACCTACTGAAATAGTACAAAAAGGTGTAGCCTCTCAGAATGTTGACCCATGCTTCTTTGTGATCAAAGGACGAAAACAAACTTCGCAAAATTAAACACCCCAAGAGATAAAGAACACCACTGATGACATGCTAATCAACTCAATACAATTAGAGGGTGAAGAAGTAGTGAGATGTGAAGGTAATGTCAGAAAATATGGAGAAAGCAGAAATCCAGATCTCATAGTCTGCCAGCTTGGAACCCCAGAGCAAAAGCATTTGGTTATGAAAAACAAAAATGAATTAAAGAATAAGAAGAATATTGAAAAAAACTACATCGATAATTACATGACAAAGGATGAGCTTAAAGGCCAGGGTTCAAACCTATACACAGATGGGGTGTGGCCTCCTTGCCTTGTCAAAGTCTTTCGATGCAAAGCAATGCAGTATTCAAGTACATTCCATGTAATATCACAAAATGGACTGACCGGTTCATGATGAAATTAAGCCATAGTGTACAGAAGTATGTTATGGCGGCTCATGATAAAATTTATGGATGCAAACAGCCTACACAATATACATTATGAAAAAATATTTCCTCAATATATTTTTTAAACCAGATTTGAATTTCAGCCAGGTGGTCAGAGGAGGGGCATTTGCATAGAAACAATCCTGTGAGTAGGTTAGGGTTTCAATCAGGGTTTTTATATTTCAGGCAGGCTGTGAAAATGACCCCTCCCCACTCCCCTGACCCCATGCTGTGCAGGTTTAGGGCTATACACTTATTTGATGCTGACATCACCATGTGGAAGATTTTATTTTCAGAAAATACGTAAAATTTAAAATTTCGTATATGCTAATCAAATATGTCAAATAGTCATCACAATATGTAGTGAAGGGTTGTAGGGCATTTACTATAAAGGCGCATGTCTTTTCTAGTGGTAAATTCCAGGTAAACCTTTGACATCGCCCGGCTCTTCCCAGGCACCCATAGCCGTTACAGTCACTCATGGACAGATAACATCTACACTGCTGAGGAGTAACCAATGGGAAACTAATTGCGAAACCCTTGTTTTGGGATTGTTTTATTTAGGTTTGCACCCCGGCCTTTAAGGCAGAAAAAAAACCATGCGCATGCTTCTCAAAACGTTAGACAAGGAAAACATGTTGAGACTCCACAAGAATGGGAAGCTGTCTTCGACCAACAACACACCTAAGAAGACCCACTAGGGCTAACGGCTTGGGGTATGGAATGTCTGGGGTTTTAAGAAAAATGTGAAAAATATTGATGCTTAAATAACTTTAAATGTGATGCCATCAACTTTCCTGATTGTGACATTATTGGACTATGTGAAACATTTAAAGGGCACAGATAAAGTTGAACTCAACAGATATGAGTGGAAAGGACAGAACCGTCAAAACTTACATGTGCGCGCTAAAAGATGATCTGATTGAGTAGGAATTTTGGTGAAGAAGGACGTATTTCCATATGTAAAGAGACTGACTGACTTTAACTCAAAAGGAGTACTGTGAACACAGATATGTGGGCATATAAACCAGACATGTACATGTGCATTGTTTACCTGCCTCCAAGTAGAACAAGTCGGATCATAGAAAATGAACTTTTTCTGAACTTTGTATTTCTCTCATATACATTACATGTACATCATGTACATTAGTGGAGATTTTAATTTTAGATGTGGAAATGTACAAGATATCATTGAAGAAGTAGACAGCTTGGAATTAAGAGAGGTTATTGACAATGTAATGGATATTAATGTCGAATGACTTATAGATTTTATGACAACTTTCAGTTTATGCATGTTGAATGGGCGTCTTGGTACCTAAGACTATACATACTTGATTGCACAAGAAAAATCTGTTGTGGACTATCTTTTAACCCCATATGAGCAGTATCAACATGTGAAAAAGTTTACAGTACACAGAATCAGTGACTTAATCAGCAAAGCTGGTCTAACCCTCCACCAACGTTACCAGAACATTCAGTCTTAACTTGGGAAATAGAAGATTGTTCAATGTGTATAAGTAATAATTCAGAAAACACAAGAAAAGCTGAAAAATGTATTGTGACGTATAATGTTGGAGATATTGCCTTTGATGTCCTTCTCAGCAACGAAAATATGAATCTATAACAGAATCGGATATCACAAATTGTGCAGTCAAGTTTGAACCAGTCAGGTTGGAATGAACTATATAATGAACTAGTGTCAACCATTAAAGAAGAAATGAACACCAAACTTGAACATTCAGTGATTCATATTAACGGGGACACGAAGAAGAAACCAAGAGCAAACACATACTGGTGTGAAGAGTTCCAAGTAAAGTGGGACACTCTAGAGTGCAACAAAAAAGAATTTGACAATCTACATCGCAAACATGAAATATTTCATCAAAGAGAAAAGCTAGTTAAAACCACATATTCTTATCCAAACCAAGTACATTTTTGAAAGACATTGGGGAACTTGGGATCCAAAATGAGAGGAAAATCATGATACCTGCGGAAATAGTCACAGAAGAAAATAACGTTGAAACTGGTCATAATCTTGTGATGAACAAATGGGAAAATAATTCTCTTGAATGTTAAACCCTGCCATAAGTACAGAAAACATGCAAACATATCATAGTTAGGACATGTATAACAAATTACAGAAGATTACTATAACTGAAGTGGAAGATTTAAATAGACCAATAAGTATAGGAGAAGTTTCAGAGGCTATACTACCATTGAACATGAAAAAGGCGCCAGTAATTTACAATATTCAAGCAGAGGTTATGTAGCTGAGTTTAGCTGACTGCTGAGTGGTCTCAACGATGGAACCTCTTAATCAACATTATAAGTTGTATGCTTCTCTCGAGGGTAAGACGGTCTGATGTACGCATCTTTGAAGCAGTGTTACCCGAGCCGGTAGACGAGGGATAACACTGCCACAAAGATGGGTACATCAGACCGTATTACCCGAGCGAGAAGCTTACAATGTATTTATCTTACCGCCATGATAATTGTACAAAATATAAGTTTATTTTATTTTGAAGATCAATAAGCTCGCTACCGACTATATGACAAATAAACAAAAATGGCGTCTGCCTCTCGACTGGATTTTTAATATCAGTGAACCATATTCTTGCAAGCGTAAAATGGTTAATAATGTTTAAGTTGAGTGTGCAAACGATGCAATGTATAAAATATCCTATTAATACCAGTGAAATTCTTAAAGCAGTTAAATCAATGAAAAATAATAAGAGTCCGGGCATTGACGGCTATTCAGTCGAGTTCTTTAAATTCTTCTGGCTGGATTTGGGAAAGTGGATCCTTCGATACATAAATCAATCATTTCAAAATGATCACTTGACTTTGACCATGAATAGGGGTGTCATAACTTGCATACCTAAACAAGGAAAGGATAGAAAATATTTGAAGAACTTGCGCCCTATATCTTTGTTAAACGCCATTTATAAGATTATAAGTACATGTATCACTAATAGACTGAAAGTTACACTTGACCATCTGATACATGAAAATCAAACAGGCTTCATTCCTGGTAGATGTATCAGTGAAAATATAAGACTGTTAAAAGATATCATGTTTGAAACTAGAAAACAAAAAAAGAAAGGCCTTTTATTATTAATTGATTTTGAAAAAGCATTTGACACAGTCTCAAAAACATTTGTTAACAAGGTTTTACAAAAGTTCGGATTTGGCCCATACATGCTAAAATGGATATCTATACTAACGAAAAATGCTACCTCCTGCATTATCCAAAATGGACATCTATCCGAATTCTTTCCTAATAACGGAGGCTGTAGGCAGGGGACCCCGTCTCGCCATATTTATTTTTTTATTTGTAGCAGAGATCCTAGGTATCATGATTCGTGCAAATGCAAGTATTAAGGGTATTATCTTGAATAACAAGGAATATAAACTAGGTCAATATGCTGATGACACCCAGCTCTTCCTGAGGGTTCCGATGTCAGCCTAAAGGCTGCTATGGATACGCTTTCTCTTCTACCGCATGTCAGGATTAAAATAAATATAGACAAGACAAAAGCCCTGTGGATTGGAGCTATGGCTAACAGTAAAGATATAATATGTAGTGAATATGGGCTGGACTGGCACTTAGGGAACTTTGAGGTTTTGGGTATTGTTTTAAATGCTGATTTGAATGACTTGTGGGTTATCAACACCAGGAAAAGGCTAAAAGTTATATCAAACATTCTTGGGAATTGGCGAAAAAGGAAGTTGACTATTATTGGGAAGATAACTGTAATTAAAACATTGGCTGTATCTACTTTAGTACACATTTTCACATCTCTCCCTAATCCTCCTAAATGTTTCGTGGATGATATTGAGAAAATGTTTTTCACTTTTATCTGGAGTAGTAAACCTGATAAGATTAAGAGGATGACTATGAAAAAGGATTACGGAGAAGGAGGAATTAGGATGATTGACTTAAAATCCTTTATTGCTGCATTGAAACTAGCCACTATTAAGAGGTATTTTAACAATGACGCTAATAACCCTTGCAATGTTCCTATTCGTCAACTTGCTCAGATTGGCTCAAACATTGATCAATTCTGCACTGTGGACAACCCATATTGGAAAGATGTTCTTCTATCATGGAAGAGATACAGAAGCTTATTCATAACTGATGAGAATGATTTGTCTAAAATACTTTCTGAGCCCCTTTGGTTTAATCACCAGTTTGTGGATTCATCCTTTTTTCTTAGAAGTTGGTTTGAGTATGGAATCACTGAAGTTAAAGACCTCTGTAAATCCGTTGGTCTACTCTCTTTTAACGAGTTCAAGAACAGATATCCAGTTAGAGGAACATTTCTAGACTACAATAAACTTTTGAAAAACATCCCTGTCTCATGGAGACATACTGTCAATAATTCAATTAATGAGACTCAAAATCTGGGTATTAATGACATAGTGTATGAACTTATTACACCTTCAAAAGGTTGTAGAAGGTTCTATGACAAATTGATTAAAACATGTGAGCTACCTGATGTGTGTAACAAGTGGGAAAGTATGACTCAGATTGCATTGCCTTGGAGTATTGTTTTTACAAACTATAGAAAGTGTACTCGGGATGTTAAATTATTGGATTTTCAATTTAGATTCATCCACAAGATTATATATACTAAAAAAGAATTGTTGAAGATGAAATTGATTGACAAAAATATTTGTACTTTTTGCAAATCAGAACCAGAGGATATTATCCATGTTTTCGTATCGTGTGAACATGTACAGATGTTCTGGAGTGAACTAAGGATTTTTATTAACAACACCTTTAGCATTGACATTGAACTCTCAGATTTCAAAATCCTATTGGGACTTAACACTGGCTATGATTTTATTAACAACATTATTCTCGCTGGGAAACGATTTTATATATATCTCAAGTATAAACAACAGACGGCTGCAAATGTCAGGATTTCTGAAAATAATACAGAATATTGTATTTGTCGAAAAATACATAGCTAAGAAAAACAACAGGCTTAACAAATTTCACAAAAAATGTCCTCATAGCTTTGTTTCAAACTTTGAAAATCTGCAAGTCTCTGGGCCAATAAATAACCAGCTCCAACATGCCTACGACCCATGAGTTGACTGTTAGAGGTCCTATAATAATAATAATAAGAAGAAGAAGAAGAAGAAGAACAATGACAAGAATATTAATTACTCAACAAGCAGGTAACCCATGAGCTTGTCGCTGCAGTCATGTACTCCCCGACTTATGTACCTATACTTTCACACTCTGAAAACTTGTAATTTGTTGTTGCCAAGGTATAACCAGCTCCAAGTGCCTTATCCATGGTGTTTGCTACTGGAGTAGTGTACTCCCGGATTTTGTATACCTATATTATCACACTTTGAAAATTTGAACTATTTGTTGCTGATGTATAACCAGCTCTTACATGCCTGTAACCCAGAGAGTCTGTTGCTGGAGGGATGCACTCCCTGACTTTGTGTACCTATGTTTTCATACTTCGAAATTAGTAACTTTGTTGCTGATATATAACTAGTTAGAACATGCCTGTAACCCATGGACTCTGTTGTTTGAGTGGTTCACTCCCTGACTTTATGTACCGATGTTTTCATATTTCGAAATAAGTAAGTTTATTGTCGATGTATAACTAGCTAGAACATGCCTGTAACCCATGAAGTTTGCTGCTGGAGTTGTGCTTTCCCTGACTTTGTATACTTGTAACTATATTCTCTCACTTTGAAAATTTGTAACTTTCTGTTACCAATATGTAACCAGTCCCGTCTCTGTATACCTATCTGAAATGAATAAAAATATTATAAAAAAAAATAAAAATAAAAAAAATATTTTAAAAAAAGCAGTGAAAGTCGGTAAAATAAATGTGTACATAGTGAACTCCAAAACAGCTAATCGAACAGTTTCGAACTCCGTGCACTGCATGCGCCATATTATCACGTCAGCGGATGATATTTTTTCCAGTTGTCACCCCCCTGGGATGGGTTACACGGAAACATGTCAAAGTGTCATTGACCAATTAAATTAAAGTATTTTACATGAACGTAAGATAAAGATAAAACAAAGAGTCTTCAATGCAGTCTCGTGTCAATACCCAGATCAACAGTGCACGTCAGTCGGGTGATATAATAGAATAATGTGCATAATATAAATGTTTAAGTATGTGGATAAATGAATTTTAAGATGATAAAATATCTGTAATGTTTTAAATATGGTGTCTTTAAGGCCTTATGAATCCCGGTTGTCATATATGTATTTTACTACTGCATATATTGTGAACTGTAAAAACGTAATAATTATGTTTTACAGATTAAAATGAAAATGCAGCAGGGAGGGTTCGGGTGATCCTCGCAGTGTCTGGCTGGTAAGGCTCATCATCAGCTCAGGGCCCATGCCTCAACTGCACGCAGCCCAGACAGCGAATGGGACTTCTCCCAGGAAACGCTGCCTAGTACGTCGAACCAACCAGGAACCTTCCGGAGAATATGTAGACTCCCCAATTCTGCTGCCTTCTGCATTACCCAGGGTGTCAGAAGGGCCGTGATCCCGGTGGAGTACCCGGGTACTCTCCTGATCTACGCCAAGAGATCAGGAGGTACAAAACCAGGGCACGCAGAAAAATGGGGAATCTAACGACAGTGTACTTGTGATGCAATCGATAAATTTCAAAAGCAAGGTTCGCATATTTAGCATGCTTTTCCTGAATCTTGCTAATCAAGTTGCTGTCAAAAGGATCGTAGTATTTCTGTTATTTTAACTTCCGGCTAAATCTACCTACATCGCCAGCGGCTGAAGGGATGATGTAAATCCAGCTAGGGTCCATGCAGGTAACAAACGTAATGTAAGTCCCCATGGTTCCTAGTATGGTGATCTACCTTCAGTTGTTGGCGATCTTTAGCCCGTGTTCTATATTGTATTGTCTTCTTTAATTACAATCTTTTAGTTTAACATGCTAGTTTTATGTTCATATATGTGATATTCTAGTACTTTTACTGTCCATCGTCGACAGGTTTTACTCTCCAAAATGTTTTCATTTTTTATTGTATAAATTGTTTTCGTCATTATATGGCTGAGATATTGCCGATGTGACGTTAAATATTACCTCACTCACTAACTGCTGTCAAAAGGGACAGAAAATTCAATAATATAAATAAATTTATTAGCTTTAGCAGAAAGAACAAGATCAGGTTTGTTGGCTGGAATTCTTGAGAAAAGTTTGAAGTATCATTTTCCATGACGCCGTGGATCTCGGAGTCAAAGCCACAGGCATGACGAAGACGATAGTAGAAACAACGAACCATGCCAGCATGCCTTTTTAGATATGCTGTTTGAGCCAAGAAAGAGCATCCAGTGACAAGATGTTTGGCAGTCTTTTGTACCAGTTGACCTCACGTAATCGGTTAAAAATGCCCATTGAATATTTTTAACTCATAAATAATGTTATGATAGGTTATATAATAGATATATTTGAGAAAGTCCCGTGATCTACATACTAATGGACAGAAAATGTGCAGATTGTATGTATGGTAACTTACTTTTGTCAGTTGGACGTTGTATCAGTCTTACAGGATATGATGTGCGATATATTCTATACCTGAAAGGAGACAAAACATAAATCCTGAATCTGCTATAAATAGGTGACACATATAACGATATTTGATGATGACCATTCCTTGTGGAAAGAGATGTCCTCCTCTAAGCCGAACTTCGCTGTATCTGACTTTGTTATTCGAGAAACGAACATCCATGTTCGAGGGGCTATGAAAACGTTTTGAGCCTAAACTAATTCTGATACGAGGGACAGTCAAAAAGTAGTCAGCCTGCCCTGGTAAATGATACAAATGCAGCTGTTTTTTATGTTTTATTTTTCTACATATTATCTGTCAACCTCAAGCAAATTGGTTTTGCTACGTTCCAGCCTTACGATCCCCATTTTGTTTGAAATTTTATTTTGGTACCCCCCAAAAGCGCAAAATCTGCAATAAATGCACCACAAACTTCAGGTAACAAAATATGCAAGAAACATTTTGTGTGTTTGAGATAGGTAGACGTCCGCTAGAATCAAGCTAAGATATTAAAGTGCATAAAAAAGCAATATGAAAGTACAATCGCTTGTTAAAGTGATTTCCCCCTTCATGTTTACTGAAACAGCTTGCTTTGGAGACACTAACCATCCCCTTTCAGACGACGAAATCATAGGGACATAACTTATTCTAATGTTTTCACTTTTTCACACATGATGCTTAAGGTTCAAAGTAAATACTGAATGATCACACAAGTGTCAACTCACAGTATATTGTAAACAGGGCCAGCTTGAATATCTGGACACAATGTTTTTCAAAGACTAAAATGGGGGCGTCCTTAAAAGAAACAGCCCCCGACTAAATATGAATCAAGCAATCAAAAGCTTTGACTCTTGATTATGACGGAAAGTCATCCAATACTATACTAACATATTTTATATGACATTAAGTAGTATATACAATAGCGGTCCGAGATCAAGTCCAACAAAAGCCTCTGTAAAGCTTTATTTCACAAATAAAGCTTTTGTCAGGCCCTTAGATTTCGCCCCAATTGTATAGACTACTTTTGAATCCCCAGTTAACTTCCCGGTCGCACGTGACACAATAATGTCACTATGACCGCGAACTAGCACTTGACACTATGTCTCGTTGACCTCGATGAAACAGTTTAATGTGAATCGCCTATGATCTCTTTGGTGTTCGTAATAAAGGCTTGCTGGGCTTTCCGTCCCCCTGTTCTATGTACTTTTTTTTCTCGCCTTCGCTGTTAGCAGACTTACGAGACTTGGACCGGATTTCTTGTTTCATCTTACGGTACTTGTCGAGTTCAGAAAGGATTGAACGAAATTCCTCCTCTGAGATCTTACTGTCAGTGAGTTCTGTGGAAATACACTCACTTACTGTGTTCAGCTTTGCTTCGGCTAGAACCCTGATCTCGTGTTTCAATGCCTTACGATGCAATCTGCGGGATGCAACCTTAAACATCAACCCTACCCCCCCCCTACAACCCCAGCTGTTATCTCAATGCCTAGCACTATAGGTGTGGCCACGATGGTGGCTAACAACCCAACACCTGCCGCCCCTAGTCCCATGCTGGTTATTTTAAGGGCAGTATCAGCCCTATCCACGATATTGAAAGCTCTATGGCACTTCTTACATAGTGCTTTCCGGGTGTCGCGGTCTTGTTCTAGTTGGCGTTCTACATCACATAACTGCCTCAAGCAGAACCCGTCTACAGTTTCCAGGGTCTTCACGACTTCCTGTACGACTGGGTGTAGACCCATCCTGTGTGCATATAATATATCTTATGAGATATTTTTTAATTGGGTTTCATTTAATAGGTGATCAATGTACTTGAGGCTTATAAGGTTTAGATCCTTGTGCAGGGAAATAGGTGAGAGGCTAATAGGTAACTCTGCGCCCACAAGAACCCCATCGGGGATTATTAAGGGGCCTATATAACCCGTTCGGGGGTCCGGTTGTATGACGACACGGTAACGTTGGTGATTCTAGTATATTATCACCCCGGGTTAAAATTGTACTTCTGTTGTACTATAAGGGGTTGTTATTAGATGGAATTCTATGATGAGTGTGGAGCCTCGTCTCACAGTCATAAGCCCCGATTGGGAATCGAGGGCGCCAAACCTTAACTCACCCTTCAAGGGTGAATCTAACATGGTGCTCGTGTAATCTGGTGTTAGATCAGCACTTATACCAGGCCCCAGAATGAAAGCCCCGGGGAAGATACCGTTGTTCCTAATTTCGGAGAAATACCCATCTTTGTTTAACGAGATATAAGGTGCGGTGAGGGTCATGTTGATCAACCATTTGGCCTCTATAAAGTCGTCTGCCAGGGACACCCGCCTATACACGTTGTCTTTCAAGTGTAGGGCGTACAAGGCGTCTTCCTTGCCTGGCAGATCGAATCCCTCCGTGTGTCCTAGATTGTTAAGTGTGGCGTTGGGCCGATGACGATTGGACATTGCTATAATACTATTGCGAGATAGTTTCCAATTGTTTTTCTGATAATTTCTCAGGGGTGCACTTCACCCCCATGAAGTGTATGTTGTCGGGTAGGAAGATCTTGGTGAGTGATATCATGTCTTCCACGGTCACGGTGACCCCATGCAGACTGGTGTGGGAGTCAACACCCACCCGCACGTAAACAGTGCAAACTTGATACTGGTGCCGTTTCACTGGAGTTTGATCCCCTTCACGATTTCGACTTCATCCTGCGATTGTTCCCCTTGTTCACCAGCGTGCAGTTAGCCGGTAGGCTTGTCAGGATGTTGGCCACGCCAGCGAATTCAGACACCAACTGCAATGCCCCATCTTGCACTCCCGGTTTACTCATTAGCATGTGGGCTGTAGCATTCGAGACTGGGCTGATGATTACACTACGTCTCTGCGCCGGGACGTAAGCCACGAGCAGGGTTCCGTTGTTCACGACTTTGTTTAGGTAGTTGTCTTTGTTCTGCGTGAACACGTAGGGGGAGCCGAGACTTATGTTGAGAAACCAATCGTGAGAGGGTAACAACACCCACTTGTCGTCGTCGGTGAAGACGAGCGTATATGGCTTGTTTCGGGCAACGGTCATGCTATCAACATCTTCTAAGTCGAACAGTTTGCCTCCGAACGATTGGGAGACTGCCCATCTATCATCACCGATGCGGACTTGGTCGAACCGAGTGTTGAGGGCCGCTCCTGAGACATCTACTATGTCACCTAGGGTTCCACCGATGGAGGGAACTTCAACACGTTTGTAAATGTTGTTTTTCAGTTGCAAGGAGTACAGTTTACCATCTACTCCGGGGTCGTAAGTGTGTCCCCGCGGTCGGAGATCCCCGCATTGACGCATTTTTTCAACCTCCTTCCGGGACCTGGTGCGCTAGTCATTTTATGTGCAGCGTTATGCTGAGGTATGCTATATTAACAGGATTATGCTTTATATCTAACACTGATATTATCAACTCAGGGATGTTGCCCCGAGTTAACCTCTTATACTGACGCGGTGAAAACGACTCGGTTCTACCGTCGTTGTATTTCTCTGTTTTCACCGGTACGGCTCTCAGTATCATGGAAGGGTGACCACCTTGAATGTTGTCTGTTGTGCCCAACTGAACGAGATGAATGCACAGCTATCGGTACGGTACTAGGTCGGGTAACTTCGTGCCTGTGACGGTAGTTGTGGGTTTTATATCGTCCGGGCGACATCCCGAGTGTCCTCGCCAATGGTCGGCCGAGCCTCGAGGGGTTTAGTCCGTTGTTGGTTAACACCACTGTGCTATGTGAGTCGTTCATCTTGAGTTCAGCTTGCAAGGGTTTGAAGACCTCGTCGCTTAGCGAGCACATGCTGTAGTAGCCGTCAGTTATCTGGTTGCGGGCGCCACTGACGAACAGCTTGTTGTTGTTGGCGTTGATGTTAGTCCATCGAGGTAGGTAGGTGATATCGCAGAGTGTGACTTCGAGTTGGCCCGACGTGTTATCGATCGCATGCATCAGCTGAACGGACTCGCCGCTCGTTATTCCTGGAAGTGTTACGTACATGTTAGAGTATATATACTGATTATATAATACTTCAAAAATGTACAAGCCAGGAGAATCCTCCACAGGAGTGTTTTACACTCCGGGAGTGTTTTACCCTAAACTGGATATAGGTTTCCCACACATGAAGATCGTGGTCGCTGATGGACTGTATTTCAGCGCCCAGTTTATAGATGTATTTGCCAGGTATAGGTTTTCGGTGACTAACGTTAAGGTAGTCCACGCTTGGTTCAACAACCCGATGCAGTTCTGGCAGAGTCAACTCAACTTCGCTGTGTGGTGTGCGATGACTGGGTGTGGCTTGACATTAACCGACACTCGGCGGAGACCGCTGAGTCAGTCTGTGTTCACATTTCACGTGGACTACCAGGTCAGGTGTTTCCAGAGATCAGAGCTCCGCTCCCAGAGGACAAAGTATGGGACGCAGTAAACAACCAGTATGATAGACGGTCCTATGAACGCGTTTGCAATGAATTCAAGCTAGACCCGAAGACGGATTGGCGTTTGCCAGGCCCGAACCATGGGTTGGGTATCCCCATCGCTCACAATATGCACATCGCGGAAGCCAGCAAACAGCTGGTGAAAAAATGGGGGTACAAGTCGTATCATATAACAAACGAGTGGGATGACCGTTACATGGCTTTCGACACGAGCAAGGATTACCGAGTCTGGAGGTTCGAGCAGGGGCCCGCGGACGATTGGAAAATGTTCATGCTGGACACGTTGAAAGGGTTTACTGGTGCCGGTGTCACCAGATTGAACGACTCGATTCGAACGTACGTGTGGGCTGTGTTAGGTGCGCAGACGCAAGCGCTTTCCAGTATTATCGGTATGGGGACTGCTTACGACGCGCAGAAACAGTTCGTATCCAACGTCGAGGATGCTATCAATGCTCCAGTTGATCTACCGAGTGCTATCCGATGCTACCAAGACGTATTGGAATACGCCCGGTCGAAAGTCGACTACAGCTTTGACGTGGGATTGTACATGGCTCCGAGCGATATGCAACTGAGAGTAAAAAAAG